ACTGGTAGATAGGGCCGTTTTATGAAAACAACTGAAAAACATGTTTTTTTTATGTTAAACTGCTTTATTCAGTGTTTTTATCAAGTTAAATCAGCAGGTACATTTGTTTTGGAGAGTAAGCAACCTCTGTGCATAACTCAACTCCTGGTAAAAACCAATGTTTGGATCTTATTGAGGTGAGCACACAATTAGCAGGTGTTGGGCTAGTGGCCCGTCTCTGACATGCCAAACAGCATAGGAGAAACATTGATTTGTAACGTGACGCTACTTTATTCAGTGTTTTTACTGGATTAAATCAGCGGGTCTGTTTGTTTTGGAAACAAACATTGCAGGTAATCTAAGTTTCAGCTGGTTGCAAGCTGCAATTCTCACCACTAGATGCCACTAAATCCCCCTAAAATTGTACACACTGGACATTTGAGCAATTGCAATGCATTTAAAAATGCATTAGGCCTACACAACTTTGCACATCTGAAGTGCCATAAGTGCACTTTATCTCTTTTCCCACACAAAGTCTGTAAGATGAAGTCAGAGAATGAGGGATTTTATCAATATTGGAAACACTTTTGTACTTTGTCCTGAATTAACAGGACCAAACTATTCCATCTTGTCAAATTGATCATCTATGTTGCCCCAGCAGAGGTGATACAGTTGCGCTTTATTATTAAAGATGATATGTGTGAATTAGGAAATACTGTTGGAATTAGAAAAAAGCCTTTTCCATTCATGGGTGTGAGATACTTGTGTTTTAGTATGTTCAGCCTGCTTATTTTTGCATATCAATACAGTAAAATAGTCAGTGTCATGTTTACCTTACAATCACACTGTGTCCGCTAAAACAGTAGCTTCTTTTAAATGATAAAATATGATGAGTAGGACTGGTTTGCTGTGTTCCTGCTTTCAGGGTCACAGTCAGCTTGATGCCCGTGGTGTTGGTTGGTTGCTACGGGCTACGAGGCAGAGATTGACTGATGGTGGCATTCACTCTCTTTGTGTGGCAGCTCAAACTAAAAAAAAAGAGGAAAGACAGGAGCCAAAACAGCATGCCAGCCACAGACAGGCATGTGTGCTGCAGGCTGACACGGAGGCTCCCCACAACAAACTGGGCCAGGTTGGAAGAGTTTAATTGCAGCTGCCTGCTGTGTTTAGAATAATATAACCTCATTGAAGCACGCTTGTTTGAGCTTTTGGTAAGGATCCACTGTAAATGGAAAAATGACTCCTGCTTCTTTCCTCAGGGAGCCTGGCGAAATTGTATTCTATTACCAGAGGCAGGGATTTCACCCATAAATCCTCAACCTTTAGGAATGGCCTATATATAGCTGCTCATGCCTCATAAGATATCTGAGAGTTTGTGCTTTTTGCACTCATGTATAATGGGTGTCTTTGCAGTTATGTGCTTCATTGCTAAGTGCAGCAGCTTGTGACAATCCTTGTTTAAAGTGTACTGTAAATACATTCCACTTGATGCAAATATGCAGCCAACACTAAGCCTATAAAGGAGGTGGGAATCCGATTTTGGAAATGATGTAAAAGAGGGGAGAATTAATACTCAGTGCTCAGCTACAACCACTCCTCCATAATGCATATCATGAATATATTTCACTACTGAGTACTGAGTAATGAGATGCAAAGAAATCTACAAATGAACAAAAATAGATCATCTGGCCCTGACACATTTTCTCTTCTCACAGCTCCATTTGGTGGCCAACATGCAGCTGTGATCAAAGAGCACTCTTCCACAGGGAGCGGGGCAGCACGGTGGCCAGGCCGACTCCATTCCCAGCTGAAAGGTCACAGGTTTGATTCCCACAGCAGCCAGCAAGTTGGTTACCCCACCGAGCACCTACCTGCCTGCTAACCGCAAGACACTCTGGATAAATGCCGAAAATGTAAATGTGGCGCGCAGAAGCCCCTGGGGATGTGACATGTTTCCTGTTGCAAAACATAGCTTGTCGTGACAGTCCAACCATCTGGACCATGGGCCCTGTGCTCAAGGGCAGATGAAAGACATTTGCTTGCTCTTTAGCATTTTTTTCTACCCCTCTACCAAATGCAATTCTGTCCTGACCTGATATTCTGACCTAGTTGAAATAATCAGCAGTGGAGATATTTTGCGAATTGCATCGCCGACCCTATTTGCACATAAATGTTGCCCTGCAGTCATGCGCCGCCTTTAAACCTCAACCCACATTCCGAAGCAGACCTCGAAGGAGGAGGTGCTGGGGCCACCTCTAAGAGCTTGTCTTATCACTATCCATTTCATACTCTTTTGACTCATGCTGTTTATGAAGCATGACAGCTGCTGCATTACCTGCACACCACAAACATCTGCAGTCTAATACGGTCCGATGAGGAACACGGTGCCTAAGGGCTCCATAATTAGTGGGTTATTCCCATCATACGCTACAGCAACTGAATTAACTTCCTTACTCCCACTGATGACCATGGGCAGATTATTAGACAATGAGCCCCTGGGAACAGATTTGCAAAAAGCCCCACCACCTCTCCACTGAGGAGCCAGACACTCAGACTTTACAGCTGTTTAGCCTCTTTTTGTTGTTAAAGTCCTGTTGTGTCTCTTTGTGGTCACTCTGTCTCTTTGTAGTTGTTTTTTTCCTCTTTGTCATAATTTTGTGTCCTTTCTTGGTTGTTTTATGTTTCTGTAGTTAGCGTTGAGCTGAATACTCAGATGAAACAAGTATCCAGTCCAAATAATGTACTTTTTATGAGAACAAGTATCATCTGAGGAAATTTTTATCAATATCCTTACTTGTGAAGAAGGAAAATCCTTATTTAGGTAGATGTGGTCAGTCTCTTACTTTTGTGATCAATAATGATCTGAAGGTCAATCCTGAGATTTTTCTGTAAATAGCTTTCTAATAAATAATACATATAGCAACTTCTGATCAACCCATATCAATTTCAGGTTTAAAAAAAACTTCTGGTTAAGTCCCATCCATTTGCAGTTGAAACTCTGCCCATTCCAAGTACAGATACGGATACAGATAATTTTGTTGGTTGAACAAATACAAACACAGATACAGATAATGGTGTGCTTGCTCATCCCTATCTGTAGTCATTTTATGTCTCTTTGTTGTCATTTTGTGTGTCTTTGAAGTGATTTTGTGTTTTTCGTTTAACTATTAGGCTTGTTACAAAAAACACTGAGTCTCTGAAATGTGGCAATCTACTGCTAGCAACATTAGCTTTGTTGCTAAGGTACCACTGTTTAGAACACCAGGAGTACTGCTGTAGCCTAAATACTGCAAGACCAACACCAAACACATAGCAGAAGACCCCTATTTTTCCATGGTAAAGTGAATACAACCTAAATCCCTCTAAACTGCAAGTCTAGCTGTTTGTTAAACCACAATACAGAGGCCAAGACCCTTCCCTTCAGGTAGGGCCATATTTTGAAAAAAAAAAAAAAAAAAAAAAAGTAGTTAATCATGTGTGACACGTAAAACAACGTAAAACGTAAAACAACAATGTCGGCCTCTGGAGTGGCATATGATATATGTGTTGGCAGCGCTTTATAAACAATAACAATGACATAACATGGCAATAATAATCATTTACCATTCTTGCTATATGGTGGCTGATCTTGTCCTCTGCTCCGAGGGTAAGGACCTTGGGGATCTCACTGTTTTCCCAACTTACTGACATTTTCAGCCGTTGTTCTTCTTCTTTGAGTTAGCTGCTAACTGCTGTGAGCTACATTTTAAATCTCCTGGTGGTGGGTCGCACGCACAACACGTCATCAAAACGTCACACCTGTGCTGCGCATGATCCCGTCCTGCTGACTTTCTGTTTATACAGACATTGTTTCGGCGCTGGTACTACCTTAATTAATTCTCACTCCGACCTCATCACATATCAACATTTAGGGAGTGATCACATCAAGATGAAATGCTAGAAACGCGATGCCAGTAAAACCATTGTTTCCTATAATGCAGCATGTCTGACTGGCGTTTAAGCGTCTTTTTAGACGGCCGTTTTTCCGGCGTCTTTTTAGACGCGTGTTTTTGTAGACGCTCATTTTTAGACATGCGTAGACGTGTCTAAACTTTTTGAGCGTCAGATGCCAGTAGCTAGCGTGCAATGAATAAGTGATTCCAGCGTTCAAAGCGTCTTTGAAGCATCCGTGTCACTAGCGTCTCATTTCTGTGTGATCGCCCCTTTAGTCATGGACTTTCGAAGTCGGGATATGAAATGCAAGGTACCCTGAGTGCATTGGTGGTTGACAAAATACACCTACATTTTAACAGGAAATGTAGAGTTTGCATTCACTCTCTTACAAAATAAATGCATATATGTCTGTAAAACACTGCAAATTTTTGTTTTTTTCCTTCAACAACAAATGCACATGGTTAAGTTAAGGCAACAAACGCACGTGGTTAGGTTTAGAAAAAAAAAAAACAGGGTTTGGCTTTGCAGTCATACAGAAATGAACACTGTCCTCCTGGGTGAAAGTTGGTTGCTGTTGGACCCGTCCACCTGCCCTACTCTGACTTATTGCCCCCTTTACTTACATGGTTGAAAGCAACTTTGACAGAGCTGTGCTTAGTAAAAAAGATAAGTGGCCTAAACAAAATGAAAAGTTGAAACAAACTGGCTATAGCTTGAATTAAAAAACAACTTTTGGAGACCCTATAGTCAGAATGGTCTGAGGGGGGGAAGTAGGACTCGTGACCACAGTACTGGCCTCCTACTAGGCTACTACTTCTACTACTAATAGTAAGCCTAATAATAGCCTAATAATAATCATAATAATAATAGACAGATGGTTATAAAGGGAGGCTACTGAAAGCCTCTTCATTAAAAAACAAATCTTTTCACCAGCTCCTTGCCCCACTCTGTATGTATGAATGGTTTGGGTGCAGACCAGATGATATTTGCTGATGTGAGCTCCCACTTCCTGCTCTGCCTCAAGTGAATTGACGCGGCTGATAAGCGCCGTGCGGCCAATAGGAGCGCAGCAGGGCGGAGAGCAGCGGAAGATTGTACTACAGTAGTACCGCCGCCAACAGTAGACGCGTCTCCCGCTCAGTCTGTCGCTATTCAACATCCTCTGGTTAATGGATTATACGGTTTCCCTCCAAGTGCAACATCAGCTGGCTGTGTTCCCGACACACTTCTATCAGGGCTACAGTGTGGAGTTACAGGTACATTTATTTTGCATTCCACTTGCCAGTCCCGTCTCTTCTCTTTTTTCTCCTCTTCTTCAGTACTATCCGTGATGAAAGGCGTGCATGCGTGCAGAGTAGTGAGTGTGACTTTATGGAGATGCCTTACTGCGGGGGAAAGGCATGGTTGTCGTGTTGCATGCTGATGTTTCTCACCTCACCGAGATTCTTGTTGCGTGCCGCCGGGAGACGGAGCGGAGCGGTGGCTGCTCGCGCGGTACGGTGCGGTGCACATGGGGGTTCAAAGTAAGGAGCAGCCGGGTGGAGGTTGACCTCACGTCTCATAATACAGGTCCTACATGATGGAGAGCGGCGGGTGTGAGGAGAGTCCGGCCGGGGACACCCCAGGGGGTCCTTTAGGAAGTCTCCTGTGTATGACTGAGACAGACAACAGTCAGAAATATGTCTTTACTGTTTAATCAGTGGCTTAACTTTCAATGCAGCATACAGTGTTATTAAACCTCCTGCACCTCAGAGGCACTGAGGATCTGTTTCAGAGTTTCAAAATAGGGTCAGTTCTGCAGAGCGTGGCTTTTTATTCCTACTATGGACAAACAGTGACGAATATGAAGCAAAGCAACAATGTCAGCATCCCAGGTTGCTCTGCATGCAGGACAACGGGCTCGTCGATTCTCTCAAGGTGACATTTAAAGTGGATTAGAAGCAAAGATGTAGCGGAGGGAGATAAACACACCTTCCTCACCTCTGTGGAACACTATACAGTGCCTGGTTAGAGCTCATGTGAATCCCCATCACATCAACTGACACTGTGGGTCATAATGTCAAAATATAATAACTTTCCTTAGTTGATTTTTTTCCTCGTAATCGTGGTTGATGTAGTAGACTGGAGGTTACAGTTTGCCATCTTTTTTCCATTTTTTTTATCATTATGTATTAGTGGAATGAATGGTCTACTTGTGGCACACCAGACGAGAAATGATTCCTGATAGATAAATCATTTCCTAATTAATTCTATCAGGAATTTTCTCTGGAAATATATTGGCTAACATATCACCGTTGCAGATAAGGAATATTTCCATTATAGAATAATCTGTCTTGCTAAATTGATTAATTACTTTTTCAGGACTAGTTAAAAATGTCCTGTATAATCTCCCAGAGGCCAGGATTGACAAACAAACAGTCAAAAACTGAGAGGTTCAGTCATCTATATGTGTGTGTGTGTGTGTGTGTGTGTGTGTGTGTGTGTGTGTGTATGTGTGTGTGTGTGTGGGGGGGGAATCAGCAAAGCTCAGCTTTTGAGAAGTGGAACAAACACATTGTTTTAATATTAAATAAAAATAAAAATAAAATATAAAACGTTAAAATATTTTTTTCTATTTGTCATTCAGTGACCATGTCCCACTTGCACAGGAAAGCAAACAAAATAGTAAATATAGAACATGGTGGTGCAGCATTTCCTTTGATGTCTCTCAGGTGACTTTGGTTTTAATTAGGCGCAGCATTAAAATGGTTGCTTTGTTTTCCATGCAAAGCTCCAATATATTTGTTTTTTGCCCACCTGGTGGGATAGACTTTGGTAATGGCTGCACCTCATGAATATTTTCATTATTGATTAACCTGCTGATCATGCTCTTGATTGTCGTCTAGTTTTTTACTCTATAAAATGTCAGAAAATTGTGAGAAATGTCCATTACATTCTCCCAGTTTCTCTAAATGTCTTGTTTTGTCAGAGCAATGGTCCAAAATATAAATATGTTTAGTAAACTATATCATAAAAGATGAAGAAAACCTGTAAATACTCACATTTAAGGAGCTGCTGGAGCCGGTGAATGTTAGTTGTTAGTTAATTAGTTGATTTTCTGTTGCTATTATCTCTGTAGATTATGGAGAACCACATTAACTGGTTGTTTAATAATAGTTGATGGCAGCGACGGACTCAGGATGTTTGAAGGGCAGGGGCGAAAAGGAAAAAAGGGCACCTACTGCATGACATGGGGCCCCCAGGGTCGCCCCTTAACCCCCCCCCCCAGTCCATCTGTGGTTGATGGGATAGGTGTATGACTAACTAGACAGATAAATAGATAAATTACCAAGGAGGAATTGGCTATTCTCAATATTTAGGCAGGTGGGCACAGAGTAGACAGCCAGAAAAAGAGGTGTGTATTAGGGGTGGGGGAAAAAATGTATACAGGGTAGTATAGTGATATATCGCAATATTGTATCGATACACAGATGCCAGGTATTGATTTTTTTTTATCACGAAAAATATTACTATTGAAAATACAAATAGGTGTGGGCCACATATTGAATATACTCGATGGGTTGCAGCTTGTTCCACCTGGAGTAGAAATGGTCACGTTTTGCTTTTTTAAGCCTCCAACATGAGACTTGCTTTGGCGTTTTGGTTCTCGTTCTGTCTCCTGTGGCTCTCTCTCTCACAGACGCACAAAAAGACTTACAAACATGATATATAACACATGTTTTCGTAGTCTACAATAGATTTCAAGATTTCAAAAATATTGAGATATATATTGTGTATTGCGATATAGCCTAAAAATATTGCAACATTATTTTTAAGCCATATTGCCCAGCCCTCATACAAATGAAACTTTTGGTAGCCTACAAGAAAAATAAAATGAATTCCTTTTTCAGTCCACTACAGTATATATATATTGCAGCAAAAGAAAAAAGATGAAGTGAGATGAAGAAACTGAAAACTTATTATATAATATATTATATATATAATATGTTATTGCAATACTCAGCATGTTGTAAAATGTTTAAAATCACAATAATATTGTATCGTGACTTAAGTATCATGATAATATTGTATCATAGGGCCTCTGGTTATTCCCACCCACATGGCTGCATTTTACCCCTCACTACACCACTGAATTAACTGTAAAAAAAATTGCAATATATGTGTAACCATAAGTACAGAAGATACATTGAAAAGTATCTTTTTTTAAAGTGTCATCATTTGTTTTTACTCTACAGTCTGTTTTCTGTGTATAGTTGGTGTCACTTTGCTCAAACAGTAGGTATTTCATTAACAAACAGGAGCCCCCCTTCTTTCCTGCAGCACCAGTTCAACACATACTTAAGATCCAAATATGGATGACGTGTTTCATTCTGCAGCCTCCAGCATGATGAGAAAAAGAATAATGCAGCATTTCACCAACCAGGCGCTCTAAGCTCCATCTCAATCTGCCTCATTTAAAGTTGACTCTTCCCCCTGAGAAGCTGCATGATATCATCACCATGTCCTCCTGTAAACCACAAGATGGCTCCATCCTGGCACCATGGAAGCTGTCTTGAATTTTTATTTAGGCATGACACAAACCTTTCTCTGTCACTTCTGTTCTCTTTTAAGACACCTCATGAAGGTGTGCACTAAACAGCAACACGTTACAAACAGCGTCAGACACTAAAGCTCCTTCATCGACCCTTTCTTTAATATCCTAGTGATTTTCTTGTGTCTGTTCAAGCTCACCAGTCATCCTTTCTATTTTTGAAAAACTTCAAGAGGGAAAAAAAAACACTTGCATTATTCCCCCGTCTGCTGTCTGTAATTTGTGATGCCTATAAATAAAAGACTTTGAAGCTCAGCGCTTCGATGTCATCAATAATTGTTTGCTTTTGTAAAGTTAAAATTGCCCTGCTTCTTTGTTGCTCTCCGTTGCCTTCTTGTTGCAGTTGTTCGCAGTTCTATCTCCATTATTTCTTTCATAGAAGGTCAACCGAGATGGGTCTAAGGATTTTTATAAATAGCACACAAAGAAACAAAGAGCTCCAATAATCTCAGCTCAACACATTTATTTTCACAGAGTGCAGAAGTTGTTTTGATGCAAACAACTGAGCAAAGTCGGCCGCATCACAGAGGGAGATGTGTGCTTTTTCAGAGGTGATGAATCTTTTCCTTCAGTTTTTCATTACAGCAAAATGGAAAATAAAGTTAAAAGGGTCCATACTGGCCTCGGATCTGCACAACAACATGTATCTTTTTATAATACCAACATGCAAACTGCCTTCACTTGTAGTGTCTAAAAGAAATATCCAATGAAGCATCCAGAAAGTGATTGACTTTGCTGAGTTTAAAATAAACCATAGCACTTTTTTAAAGATAGAATTGAAGTGAAGTCTTGTCTTGGCAAGATAACAGTCATCTCAACTGAATGATCAATGTGTAATGGATGATAGATGTTTTACCACCTTGTCGGACAAACCTGTGAATGAGTTTCAAGGGTATGGTTTTTACCACCAAATGACTAAAAAAAATCAATTATTGATTTTTTAAAATCAATTAAGCAAATGACCAGGTAGTTTAAAAACTGGTGTAGGCAGAAATCTGGAAAGGGCAAAAAAAAAAACCGAACCCCAAAAAACCCAAAACACCAGAATTTGAAAATACACCCTCTTCCTGCTGCTCTCCCCTCTCTGTTCAAAGCCCCTCCCACCAGCGAACCATGGGCATATGCATGCACTTCACACAGTAACCCAGTGTTTCCCATATATTGATTTATTTATTCTTATTTCATCGTAGAGATGCAAGCAGCGCAACTGCTCAACCCCCTTCTTGCCCCGCTCTCTCTTTCTGTTTATCAGATCACAAATGAGACAAGAATTAGCTGGCTAGCCACCCCATGGTCCCTCGACCTCACTTCCCGCCACTGAGAACTGCTTTGGCGGGTGGGCGGGCAGCAGATCTGGAGACGGTCCTTTGGTTGGCAGCTGTAGTCGCTTAATTTTGGCCAGCCTAAACCCCCTAAGTGCTGGACTGATGGTCAGCAGCAGTGTCAGGTCTAACCTGTGTAACGGCAGCAACAGAAAGTTTGCTGATCTGGCGGGGAGTCAGGACATAACATAAACGTGAACTAGAAGCCACAGCCATGGTTCTTTGGCTTTGGTTAGCAGGAGGCTAAATTGTTTTCTCTCCATCTCTCAATGACTTTGCAGATATTGACACGTGTTTTGTTTCATTTATTGTCAGACTCTCTTTTAGACTCTGTTTTTTAATA